TTTTGTGAAAAGCTTGCTCATGGTCACTAGCATCTAGAGTTTCCTTTTCTTTTTGGGGGTCATTCCTAGACCATTTCCCATCTTCTCCTAAAATTAGTTGTGACCCTGTGACTGCGTTATGCCCCTTGGAACTTGAAGGGAAGTGATATAGCTGCTCTCTACATCCTCCATGTTTATTCTCCTGTCCCTCCATCCACATGTGTTGTGAATGAAAAATAAAACTTTGTTGAGTTTAGGCCACTGAGGCTTTTTTTTGCCAGAGCCATTAGCTTAGCCCCGGCATATAATAAGCTCTCAATTAATATTAGCAGCTAAACTGGCCTAATCTCTCTGCACCTGTGTTCTTGTCTCTAGAACAGTAATAATAGGACCTACCCACAGGGTTGTAAGGGGTAAAATAAATTAAATGATGGATTATTTAACTTACTGGCTTAACTTCTCTTCAACCACAGTTATTTCATCTAAATACTATAAATGTATTTATACATTTATAAATGGGTCTTCATTACTTTTTTTCTTAAAGCAAGATTATTCATAATAAAGCCTCTTGCAGGTTTTAAAATGATAACTTATAAATTTGAAGTATTTTAGGCCTGAAGCCAGTAATAATTATAGTTTTAATTCAGAATACTTCCAAAAAGCCATTTGACTTAATGGGTTTCAAGATCTAAATATGTAGAGAGGGATGTTTCTAATTTGGAAGTTAGTTGATTTGTTTATTTTTAATTTTTAAAATTATGGAATACTTTAAGAATATAAAAAAGAAACCAGGCATGGTGGCACACACCTGTGTAATACCAGCTACTCGGGAGACTGAGGCAGAAAGATTGCAAGTTCAAGGCCAGCCTAGGAAACTTAGTGAGACCCTGTCTCAAAATAAAAATAAAAAGGACTAGGGATACGTAGCTCAGTAGAATAACATCCCTGGGTTCAATTTCCCAGTAGTACCAAAGGAAAAAGAAATACAAAAAGTATTTCAACAGATATCTGTACTCCCCCAACTCAGTATGATCAAATCTTAACACTTTGTTATATTTGATCCATGTTTTTTTCTAAAGAAATAAATATAGAAAAGAAAGTGTGCCTTTAAAGCATTTAGTGCAGTACCTCACTATAAAAGTGTCAGCAAGTCATTTCATTTTTTTAAATTTTAAATAAAATTTTAAAAAATTTTAAAACATTTTTAGATTTATAGCAGACTTGTAAAGATAGCAGAGACATTTCTTGTGCATCATTCTCCAGCTTCTTATATAACTATGTTGTATTTCTCAAAGAAATTAACATTGGTATAACGCTATAAAAGCACAAACTTTATTCTGATTTCAGCAGTTTTTCCACTTATTTCTTTTTTTCTGTTGCAGGATTCAATCCAGGATTCTATGTTGCATTTAGGCCAGCAAATGTTTAGCTATTCATCCCTTTATTCACCATATTGAGAACACAGCCAACTTTTTGTCCCAGACGGGGTGGTTCTGGGTAACAGATGATGCCAGGAGCCTCTGTACTATGTGCTATGATTATCATCAAAGCTATCATTTTTTAATATGTTTTTTCCTTTCTTTTTGTGGTGCTGGAGATGGAACCTAGGGTCTCTCACATGTTAAGCACATGCTCTACCACTGAGTTAACCCCCAGCTATAATTTTTGAGAACTTATCAAGATATTGTGCAAAGCACTTTCTATAAGCCCTGTTCATTGCTAACAACAATCCTATATAGTGATTGGTTGTTTTTTTTTAAAGATTTTTTTAAAGATGGACACAATATCTTGACTTTATTTTATTTATTTTTATGTGGTGCTGAGGATCGAACCCAGTGCTTCACCCATGCGAGACAAGCAATCTACCGCTGAGCTCTGACTGCAGCCCTGTATAGTAATTATTAATCCCATGTTATGGTTAGAGAATTGACCTATGGAGAGATTAACTGAGGTCACATATCTGTTGAAGGACAGAAGTAGGATTTGAACCTAGGGAATCCAACTCCAAAGTCATGCTTTTATATACCACTTCTATCACAAGGTGCTCTAGAGAAGAGGGAGAGTGGCCATTGTCACAGACTTTTCCAGTGAGTGTGGCAGGCAGGAAGACATCCATGGGAGGTGCCCTCCTGGGAAATGTTTGACTTGGCCGCCACCTGCCTCCTTCCTCATGGCTTCCTTCCCTTCTCCCCTGCAGCCCCAGACTCCAAGCCCAACCCAGAGAGCCTCAAGGAGGTGATGTGCTGAAACCCAGGCCCAGGGCCCAAGATGAGGCTCTGTCCTCGCCTCTAGACACCCCACCCCAGCCAGCAGAACAGGATGATGATTTAGAGATTGCCTTCTGGAGCCACTATTTTGGGTCCTGCTGACGGTGCATGAGCAAGAAATAGCAACAGGACTGAGTTGTCAGGCAAGGGAATCGGGGCTGGGTGGGTTGGGCTGTTGAGCTGGGACTAGTTTTGTTTTTTTCTGGAGAATTATAGGCCCCACCAACCTAAGGACATATTAAGAATCATTTCCCATCCCTAGACTGGAGAAGAGCCCTGTCTGGTTGGGGCTGGACCCTGTGACTGTGCTCAGCACAGTGACACCAGCCCTTCTGCTGTCCTCCAGCTGGACACTTATACCCTCTGGAAAAGGAGCAGAGAGCACCTGAGGCAGTCCACAGCCAGCTGGTATCGGGACTAAGTATCACGGAGAAGTGAGCAAAAGAGCTGGATGGGCAGTACTTGCCCTGAGCCAGGGTCCAGAGGTCCTGGAGCCAGGAAAAAGCCTTCCAGTCCTGCCTCATTCCCCTGAGCCTCAGTTTGTTGGTCTGTAAAATGGAGGTATACATGATATACATCTCTCCCAACCAAGGTAGTACACATTTATGTATGTAGATTAAGTATTGAAAATGGATGAACAGAAGCTAAAACTCAGCCAGAGGTTGACTCACTCAGTTGGGCACCCTGACTTGGGGCTCTTTCTTATTGGGAGAAGGAAACACATTTTTCTTCACCAAGCTGGTTGCTCAGAAGTGCTTCTGCCTGAGTTTGGTTTATTCAGAGAGGACATCTTTTCTAAATTTGCACAAAGGAAAAGTACTTGCCCTCCAGTAGATGTCAGAAAAGGGAGAAAGCCCCTTAGTCCCCTAGGAGAGGACAGAGTTGGCCTCAGAGAGCCTTGGTGGGGAGTGAGGGGGAGGATCAAAGGGGCCACAAGAGTGATAAAATACGCTGTGAACAGGGTGTCCTGGTGAGATACTGCATGCAGGAAGAAGTGGGAGCAGAGGCAGTACCTTCCTAACAGTCCTAGGGCCTGTTAGGATCCATTTCCCTTCATGGCCTCCGGAGAGATGGACAAGTGGCTACGACTACTCATTCAGGGATCCACGGAGCCATACTTGAATGTATAATCACAGCCAGAGGGTGTGGGAACCATAGGGCCATCGAGCTTAGGGAAGACACCAGGCAATTTTCATTTGGAGTGACAGATGATGTGATAAGGAATAGATGGGCATTTTGGTAACCCACAGAGGGGCTACCAAGCTTGAGGGTGTTGGGAGGTATTCCCAGAAGTGACATCCAAAGTGTGACCTCAAGGAGAAACTGGAGTTAGCCCAGTGAAACAGGGCAAGAGTGGTGCACTGAGGTGGTGCAACCAAGGTAAGAGAGGAAGGTGCATTCTGGGAACTTTCTTAATTTGAGTAGTATGTATAGGAACAGAGTTTTAACATGGTGGAGATATAAGACGGATTCAGGTGATGAAGCGCCTTTATAATCTGTCAAGGGTTTGTACATTGGGAGTTTTTTAAGTGGAAGGATCATGTGATCAGGTTTTTATTTCAGTTAGATGTCTGCCTTGGAGGGGCAGGGCTGGAGCCAGAGAGACCTCTGCAGGGTGAAGCTGGAACTCTGATGGTCACCAGGAAGATGGAGCTAAGTGGCGAATCCAGGGAGCATTTAGAAGTCCAGGATGACACTTGTCACCTATTTGGCTATAAGAACCTTTCACTGAATTAGGAACCTAGGAAGAGGTGTGGGTCTGGGTGCATGGTGATGGAAAGCCAGCTGAGTTGAAAGTTCAGTTGTAATATTGAGATGTGGGTGGTCATTGGGATGCAGAGGTTTTGAGCTCAGGAAAGAGAATTGGGCCATATATATCTGGAATCAGTCGTCTAGAGATACTCTATGACTTATGACTGAGGTCATAAGAGCAGAGGATCCCCCAGGAGAGCGGAAACACCAAGGGAGACAAGAGGCAGAGAATAGCATCTTGAGAAACCTTGACATTCGAGGGTCAGCCAGAACAGGCAAGGGATAAATAGGAGCAACCAGAGAGGAAGAAGCAAAGCCAGACTATTTAAACCTCCTAAGTACCTGAGCATGTATCATTTGTAAGTGGGAGCTGGAGAGGGGCTTTCCATAGTGCTTTATTTTATTGTAGCATGAGAACTAATAAATTCAGAGCTAAATGTTTTGTTCCATCATACAACTGTTCTTCACCTAGAATTTCTGGAGTGTTTCCTCCCTAACCTCATCTTCCTTCTCTTGTTTAATGTCTTCATTTTGAGGTATCTGTAATGCTAAGCAGTCCTTTATAAAGTAGAGTGTAATTGACTTGGTTCCAAAAGATGCTGTTTGTGCTTAGCAAGTGTTGGGGGATTTTTTGTTTTGTTTTGTTTTGTTTTGTTTTGTGGTGCTGGTGATCTAACCCAGGGCCTTACACGTGCTAGACAAATGCTATACCACTGAGCTATATTACCAGCCCTAACAGCACATTTCTATTATTGGCTTTGGATAGGGTGGGCCAACAGGACACATGGAACTCGTGAACCCATGGAACTTTGGTCTTGATCAGACAACACAACCCTAGGGTGAGGGTATGAGAAGGACAAGATAAGAAGAAGTTATCTAAACCTCAGCACTTGTACCCTGACTCCTCTGTATTGCATCCAGGGCCAACATCACCAACCAGTCCTCACCTGCCCTCCTTCCTCATTAAGCCTTGGCACAGACTCTCACTCTTTTCTTCTCCAGGCTGCCATCATGCTGAATCACAGTTGGCAAGCTCTCTGGAACCTCCTGGCCCTTGCAGAGTAAGCCATTTTCTCGCAAATCAACAGAAGGTCTCTTATCTTTATTATGATGAACCTTTTATTATAGAGACAGACTGAATTCTCTTTTGCATAAAGAATCTCTGATTGGGTTGGGGAATCCACCTGCTAAAGGTCACCACCCAGCTCTCCCTGCCCCTGCCTCAGCTAAGCCCCCACTTGCTGTTTACATCTCAGGGTCTCTGGAAACAGCAGAGGCTGCCGTCCCCAGGTCTAGGCTAGTCAGGTTGGGCTATGCTGGATGGAGAGCCAGGGCTCTGGGCCGCTTGTCAGGTCATTAGCCGCCCCGTCTCCCGCCCTAGCCGGTTGTCCAGAACCTGGAGCTGCCGGAGGAAGCCTGAATTGGGGCAAATATCTCGGTGGGCCTGCACCGTCTGGATGGCCTCTACCAGTGTCATGTTCTCGTAGATCATGAGGAAGGCCAGGACAAGTGTGGCAGAGCGGCTTACCCCCATGGCACAGTGTACCAGCACGCGGCCTGTGGGGAGACCCAACCCAGGTGTCAGATGCCTATCCCTGAATTGCTTACCCCTTTAGAGAGAAGACACCCCTCGCCATCCTTTCAGCCCACCATTACAGCAGCCGGGACCCCTGTACGATGGGACAACTGAGGTCCAGCAAGGGAAGAAGGCTGGCTCAAAGTCAAATAGCAAGTCATGGCAGAGTTAAGGTTGGCAGCCGGGACTCCCTTCTGACCCAGAGTGCTTCCTCTGACGTCTTTGCAACTCAGGTGAGGTGGAGGTTCCTGGACTCCTGGGGTCCCCTGAATTTGTGTCAGATTACAGGGGATGTCTACTTCCCCTCCCCCACACGCACCACAGTTCTGCCCTCTCACCTGCCCCTGCAGCTCTGTGCCAAAGCCTCATCTTAGAGAGGCCTTCTCAAGAACCTTTATAGGTCTTGTGCCTTCTGCCTAATGTCTGGTCTCTTCCTGAGCCATGTGGTTATGCTGATGACCACAGCAGATTTTAGTTATGTCTGACGCTGTTCCAGGGTGTCTCTGAAGGGGACACTAAATGGTAGTAGCTATTTGCTTCATAGGGTAGGAGGATTGGTGATGGGGTTTGTGCTCCCCACCCATCAGTGCTAACCTCCAACCCCACCCAGCTCCTTCCCCAGAAGCTCACCTCGGGGAGTATTGAGGGCAGTTCGGATATATTGAGCAACAGGCAGAAAGTAGACACTGAGGTCAAAGAAGGGGTTATCATCAGCCTCGATGCCATAGTACTCCAAGGGCATTCCGTGGTAGAACTTGGCACCTGTGTCCACTTGAAACTTGCCTGCAGCAACATTCACAACATGGGTAATACCCATCTGGATCAGTTGGCTCTTGTCCCGGGCAGCATACCTGGAGCGGGTATAAGCAGGTAGATCTCACTGGGTTAACTCTAGCTGGGTGAAACTTGCCCTTCACTTGCTGTCTTCCTTCAAGGATAGAGATGGGAACTGGTGAACTGCCCTAGTAGAGGGACATCTATAGTTGAAATTGAAGACTCTCTTTCATTCAGGGTAACTTTTTAAAAAAATATTTGTAGTTAAGATAGATAGAATACCTTTATTTATTTATTTATTTATATGTGGCGCTGAGGATCAAATCCAGTGCCTCACGTGCTAGGCAAGCGCTCTACCACTGAGCCATAATCCCAGCCCCCAGGGTAACTTTTCTGAAGGGCAATGGGCTATACACATCAAAAGCCTTAGAAATGTGCCGAGCGCAGTGGCACACACCTGTAATCCCAGCTGCTTGGGAGGATGAGGCAGGAGGATCGCAAGTTGAAAGTCAGCCTCAGCAAAAGCAAGGCAGGTGCTAAGCAACTCAGTGAGACCCTGTCTCTAAATAAAATACAAAATAGGGCTGGGGAGGTGACTCAGTGGTCTAGTATCCCTGAGTTCAATCCCCACCCAACCCCCAAAAAAGCTTTAGAAATGCACATATACTTGTCCCTAGAAATTCTCCTTCTAGTCACGTAATAAAAGGAAGAATTCAGAAAGTGCCCACAAATATATGTAAACTGAATCTAGGGATATTTAAGATAGTGAAAAATTAAGGAAAAAAAACTACTGAGAATCCTATAATAGGATATTAAGTTCTCTCTTATCTGAAGTTTTGCTTCACACAGTTTCATTTGCCCACAGTCAACCATGGTCCAAAAACATTAAATGGTCAATTCCAGAAACAAACAATTCATAAATTTTAAATTTTGCATTGTTCCGAGGAGTGAATGAAATCTTGCACTATCCTGCCCAGGATGTGAATCATTCTTTTGTCCAGTGTATCCACAGTGTATATGCTATCCATCCCTTGTCACCACATAGTTATCTGGGCAATTAGATTGACTGTCATTCTATTGTACTTGTATTCATGAACCTTTACTTTAGTTAATATAGTAACTCTCCTATTTTGTTTTAGTTGTTACTCTCTTACTGTTCTTAATTTATAAATGAAACTTTTCATAGATATATATGAATAGGTAAAAAAAAAAAAAACAGAAGATACATAGGGTTTGGTACTATCTTCAGTTTCATATCCACTGGGGGTATTGGTACATATCCCCCACCACAGAAAAAGGGGACTACTGTGTATCTAAATGATGAAATGCTATACAACCACTAAACTGTGGTAGATGCAGGCAAATAAGGAAAGGTGTTTATGCTATATCAAGAACCTGTGGGGCTGTGTTGTGGCTCAGTGGTAGAGTGTGTGCCTAGCATGTATGAGGCCCTGAGTATTGTGTACAATTACAACTAAAAAAAATAAATAAATACATATAAAAAAAGAACTTGTGAAAGTACAGAGTACAAAGCAGAATGTTGACATTTTTTAAAAATATGTACTATCATTTCATTTTAAAAGCTTTCTGTATAAAGCAGATCACAGAACTATATTATAAAGCAATAGCCATTTATATAAAAAAAGAACTATGAAAAAGAATGTATATGTGTTTGCATTTTTTTTAAAGATTCTTTTTGTGTGTGTGTGTGTGTGTTTGCATTTTTAAAGCCTGTAAGAATTATATCTGTGTGGGAGAAGGAATACCATATTTGCCATATTGTTAATAAGATATTAATCTGTATTTTCCAAATATTAAGGAAATTTTCTAAATATAAATATTTGGTCCATATTTTTGAAAAAAATATTTTGTTTTGGTACTGGAGGTTGAACCCAGGAGTACTTAATCTCTGAGCCACATCCCCAGCCCTTTTTAATATTTTATTTGGAGACAAGTTCTCACTGAGTTGCTAAGTGCTTTGCTAATATGCTGAGGCTGGCTTGAACTTCCAGTCCTCCTGTCTCAGCTTTCTGAGCTGCTGAGATTACAGGTGTACATCACTGCACCTGGCCATATTTTCAAATATTTCAGAAAACTTTTAGGAAAAATAACTCTCAGTTCTATTCTCTTATATACAACTTAGAGAAAGTTATGTGTTTTTCTAGGATTCATATTACTTAAATATTCCTAGGATCATTGTTCATAATTGCCAAAAAGTGGAAATAATTCAAATGTCCACATACAATATAATGGACAAATTGTGTTATAATCATACAGTGGAATACTGCACAGCAATAAAAAATAAATGAACTGCAGCTACCCATAAAACATGAGTGTCTCTCACAATTTTAAGCAAATCATTGCCAACCACAGAATATACACAATATGATTTGTGTAACTTTAAAAGACAGGCATGGGACTGGGGTTGTGGCTCAGTGGTGGAACACTTGCCTAGCACAAGTGAGGCCCTGGGTTCAATCCTCAGCACCACATAAAAATAAATAAGTAAAATAAAGGTATTCTGTCCAACTACAACTAAAAAATAACTTTTAAAAAAAGACAGGCAAAAGACAAACCCATGTTGTTTAGGTACATAGGTGGTAAAACTTGAAAGAAAAACAAGGACATGATGATTTTGACACTTAGAGAGTGGTTATCCCCTGGGAAAGAGAAAAGTTAGAAGGATTCAGTAGGGGCATCTGGGGCACAAGAAATGTCCAATTTCTTGGACATGCATGTTCTGTGCACTTTTCTTATGTGAGTTCTATTTCCACAGTTAAGAGTTATAATAATTTAAGAGGAAAGAAAAACATGTAAAGAGATATGGTGGGAAGCAGAGGGTGCCACCTCTGCCCAGAAGCACTCTGGGAGAGGTTTGTTTTCCATTCCTAGGTGGACTTCACACCCTTCTGCCACCTCCACCAGCCATGTAGGTCTTACTCACGCATCTCCCAAGAAGAGGTTGGGCCAGACCTCATTGATATGGTTCAACATGGTGGCCCGACGGACCCACAGCAAGCGCTGCAGCGAGGCCAGCGTGGGTGGCGAATAGGGAGATGCCCGGACTGCCCCGTGGATCTTGGGCCTCCGGAGATCCTGCTTCTGCAGTGAGTTCATCCTGAAATAGAGTAGACACCCCAGTGCTGGAGACAGGCTCCCCAAGGTGGGTCCTACGGATAGGGAGTTCTGTGGTGCAGGCCAGGTGCCTTTGGGATGCTGTGGGAAGGGCCTCCGCTGTTTGGAATGAGCTTATTAACCAGCTCAGCTGGGCTGGGACCTAGACCCTTTTCTGCCAGGAACAAGGGGAACTAGAACTTGCTGATCATTGCTGGGCAGACCTCACCCCTGCCCTTTTCTGAGGCTGTTGGATGTTAGAAGCTTCGGCCTTTGGGCCTTTAGGTTCCCTTTTTATGACACTAGCCAGTGTCAGTCCCACCCCCTTAAATGTCTTGTCAGTTTGTACCTTATAGGAATGGGAACTCCAGAAGGCTACAGTTTTCAGAGGACACCCAACCTGGGTGGCTCATCTCAAGCCCCCACCCCTGAACTTCCAGGGCTGATCCCACTTGGAGGTCCTTGAGATCAGAGTCCCCCTCCAGTATGAGAGTCAGGGGCTGTGGACTGATATTCATGGGCATTTCCAATATTGAATGCCTCTTCTAAGTCTAATGCCTCCCTTATGGTAGGTCCCTATTTCACCTAGAAGGATGCAGAAGCTCAGAGTGTTTTTCTAAGTGACACCCAGCGCTATGTGGCTGATGAGCAGCTGGGCAGGGGTTTCAGTCCAGTTCTGTGCACCTTCGGTTCCACCCCCAAGCCTTTCAGTTGCTGTCTTGGGGGATTCCAGAGTGGTCACTAACCCAATGGTCTCCTCAGAGGAGCCTGGGTGTCGCTGAGCTACACATCTGCCTCCAGGCACCGGGCTTTTCCTCCTTACCCCCATGACTCAGGCCAGTGCAGCTCGGCAGGCCTCACCCGAGTGGGGTGGGTTGCGTCAGGAGTCAGCTGGCTCAGGGTGTCTGGGACCCTGCAGATCTGGGGCATCAGTGGCACCAGAACCTGAGCCTGATGCTGTGATGGGAAGGAGGGCCTTTCTTGGCCAAGTGTCCCTGATCCCCTCAACCAGTAACTAGGGAAGGTGCAAACTGGGAGGAACACCTTTTCCCTGTTGTAAGTGGTGGCATGACTAGAGAGAGAAATGGGCACCCAGGAGGCCACCGGCTTGACCAGGCTCACCCAACGGGTGGCTGGAGGACAAGGCGGAAGTGAAGACCCAGTTTTTCCCCTCATCTCCCACTGTGACCTCTCAGGGCAGGCTGAGTGGCCTGCCACCTACCTAGGGCATGGTCTGGGACCGGGAATGGGGGACTGGGTGCAGGGGCAGGACTCAGCATGTGAACAGAATAGGGCTAATGTAGATTCCGTCCAGAACACAAGCGCTGTGAAGCGGCTAGAATTCCAGACCTGGCCTTGGAGCCCATGGGGGTGGGGCTGAGAGCAGGAGTAGGCATTGGGGACCGAAGCAGCAGCCTTTCCAAACCCCAGGGCCCCTACCTCCTTGGCATCTCTGGGAGCGAAAGCTCTTAGCCCTGTGTGGTTCTGAAGATGGGAGGCCACCTGAGAATGGTGGCAAGAGAACTTTAGAGGGAGGGAGGAGAGACTGGCTTCCCTTACAAATCTGCCATGACTGAGTCTGTGGTCCTGAGCGGGAACAATTCTTCCCTGGTGTCTGGGACACTGTTTCTCTTTATCATACCAAAGATCCTGGCATTGCCTGATTTCTCAGAATTCTCTGGGGTTCTATCCCAAGCAAGAGAGTGAGGTCTGTGTATGAAGTAGTGTAGTATGTTGGGATGGAGGAGGACCTAGATTCTGGAGGCATCTGACAGCAGCACTAGTCTGTAGCCACCAGGTGGGGCTGCTCTAGCGCCTGGCAGGACCAGATGGAGCTTTGAGAACCTGGCAAGAGCCAACCAGGAACCAGGCCTGCTGAATTTGGCGTGGGGTAAGGCTGCCCCCCAGTGGCCAGTGGGTGCTATGCAGCCCAGCTGTGCTGGGGAGCAGGTAGCCAGACTTTGGCTGTGAAGAACTGGATCTGGTTCCTCTTGGAGTCCCCAGAAGGATCCTGGATCAGATGCTCTGCTACAGCCCAGTCCAGGTCTCAGATACTTAAGAGACCCCAGCCCAGTTCTGGAGAATGGAGCCTTTCTTTGGCCTTAAAGCCCCTCCTAGGGCCTCACTCCTGATACACCCATCCACTGTCCTCCTGGGGTGAACAGTCCACCTTGCCAGTCAGAGTCAGGCCCAGCTGCCCATATGGTGACCTCAGGCTCCCAAAGGAAGGGCATTCTGTGGCTTCAGCTCCCCTGGTTTCTGCTGCCTTCAGCCCTGAATGGCAGAGGGTCCTGCCTGGTAGTACCATGTTTCCTCATCCACAGCAGAGTGAAGCTTCTGTACTTCCCTGCTGCCCACCCTCTTTGCCTCCTCCTTTTCTCAAGGGGGGCACAGGCTGGGTGGGACTGGAGATCACAATACAGGACAGTAAGGGGCTAGGGAATGAAGCCCCCAGGAGGAAGGGAGGCAGCTGCCAGAGGTGGGCTGCTGTGGGTTCTGGGCCCATCATGCAGCTTGGAGGAGGACAGACCTGGGTAGAATTCTCTGGTCTTCCACTTGTGTCTATGTGGCCTTCTCTGAGCCATTATCTTTCATGAGACTGTTGTAAGAATCCCGTGAAATCATAAATGTAAAGCATCTCCCACGGGGGCTGCCTTGTGAGCGATGCCCAATAAATGGTGCATTTTATTCTAATTATCATTACTATAGTTACTCTTACCCATTCAGGCCTGAGCTGTATCCCAGGCAGAGGACCACTTCCCTTTGGGGGTTGAGGTTGGTCTTTATCTCTTTGTGTTTATTTATTCAGGATTAATTACCATATTTATCACTTACTAATAAAGGGCATACTATGTACCAAACACAGCTAAGAGCTTATAGTTTCTCACTAAATCTTCATAGTACCCTTATAAAGCCATTTTACAGATGAGAAAACTGAGGCTTTGAGGTTAAGCAAGATCCTATAGCCAATTGATGAGGGAGTCAGAATTCAAGCCCGGGTCTTTCTGACTGTCCTATGGTCTATCTCTGCCTTTATCCCAGACCCTCTTGGTCCCTCAATCCAGCCTCCATCCTTGCTTGACACCCCTGTGCCCTGAACCCTGTTACCCAGCATGCTCAGGGCCCCCCTGAATTGGGAGCACTCACCCACCTGAGGGGGTGTCCGACGCAGGCTGTGGTCTTCTCTGACAGGCGATTTGTGCTGCCAGCTTCCAGCCGCCTGTCTCTGCACATTTGATGCTGTTTCTATTTTTTGATTTGAGTTTAATTATAAAGCATGCGGTCTGTTCCCCCCCTTCTAACCTCCCCCTGCCACTCCCAACTGGTCCACTAGTCTCACAGCAGGTCAGTGCCAAGCCCAGCCAGGCACCTCCCCCAAGCCTAGGCCTAGGCCTCCGCCCTGGCCCTGCTGAGAGCAGAAGCAGCTCAGCTGAGGTCTGTGTATCAGGAAGATGTGAGGTTTGTGTATCAGGATGACAGGGCAGGAAGGGGGAAGATCAAACTAAGCATCTTAGAAGCTCCCTCTGGGGACTGGGGTTGTGATCTCTGGAAGAGCACTTGCTTAGCACGTATGAGGCCCTGGGCTTGATCCCCAGCACCACCAAAAAAAGAAGGAAAAAATAAATAAAAGCTCCCTTGGCCTTCATGGTTAGTGTGGAGCAAGGGCCCAAAGTGGGAGCTGGTAGGAGGAGGACGGAGACTAGTTGAAAGCATGCGTCAGCTGGAGGCATCGCCAGCACCAGCAACCCTTAGGTGGGGGCTGGTGAGGATGGAACTGATTCAGGAGGCAGATCTGGCAGACTCGGGCTGAGGGTGGCAGCACTGGCAGACAGACACGTGTAAGTGGGCTACAGAGCTGGTCTGTACACCAACCCTGTTCTGCTTTATCCAGAAACTGCTCCCACCCTTTGCCATCCTCTCCTTCCCTTAAAGACTATCCCTGGACTGCCTCGCTGTCCCAGAAGGTCTGTGAGATGGTCTTCAGGTCCCTCCCAAGACTGGTCAGTTAGAGACCTTGGATTTAGGCCTATTAGGAACTTTCCTTGTTATCCAGAGACCCTCATCATACACCCATACCTTGAAACTCATCCCCACTCCTGCTCCCAGATCCACACACACACACACACACACACACACACAGGAATCCTGGTATTCCCTAAGCACGGGGAGAGATGGGGGAGGGGTGGCGGTGGCCCTCTTCCACTGCCTTCTCTCCAGGGAACTTGGGATCCCTGACAAGCAATCTCAGGGCTTGGCTAACAAGGCAGCCTACTCCCACCTGTGGGGACTGAAGCCAGTGACCGAGATGGGGTGAGGGATACAGGAGGAAGTAGACCGAGTGGCAGACTCGAGGATGGATCCCATGCTGGGCTCTTAGCATCTTCTTGGCATCCACATGGGCCACAGCCTCCAAAAGCACCAGCAGGGTCAGTGCCAGAGCCGCAAAGTGGCAGAGCCCTGTGGCAGGCAGTAAGGACAGGCTCTGCAGAGAGAGACATGCTTCATATTACAGGCAGATAAACCAAGGTCCAGGCTGGCTGGGACTTGTTAGGACATTGGCAAGAGCTGTCACCTAAACTGCTTCTGTCTTGAGACCTATGTGCAAGATCAAGTGGGTGTCGGTGAGAAGGGATGAGGTAGCCTTGGCATTCAAGGTTTATGGAGAGAGAGGACCTCCCTCTGCAGCCCTCTCACCCTCAGGGGCCCAAACCCCAGAGCTGCTAGTTACAGCTGCCGGGACTGTGCACTTCACAACTCTTAGGGGTTCCACTGACACATTTTGATAAATGGTACCTCTATAAGTTGTGCAGTGCTACAGCCCTGCTCAAACAGCTCCCCCAAACCAGCTGCCTGATGGGCAGGATGCTGAATTAACGGTCAGGGTTTCTAAGAATCCTGAGAAAGTGGGGTGATTGGGCATGATCAGAGATCTGCTGATCTTCCAGGTTCTTAAATCCTGTCTGAGGAGAGAGCAGGCTGGGACATGCCATTCCCAAGGGCTCATATCCCCTTTTGGCTTCCCAGTCCACAGGATGTCATGGGGGAGGTGAAGGACCGATCAGCTTGGTTGTGCATCTGCTTTGGTGGGATTTGATGAGTCACCATTCAAGGCAGGACAAGACAGGCTGGAGCAGGTAGGAAGGCCTCACCTCTTCCATGTAATGCTTACTATCACCTTCTTTCCTTGTCTTTCTCCACTTTCTGGGGTCTGAAGAATTGGGGTGAACTGAGGATGACAGGGCAGGGGTCCTATAGAAGGACTACCTGCCTGGCTCCAGTGAGACCTTGAATGGGCAAGAGGAGCCCTGAGGCGTGGGGAGCATGGCAGGCCCCCTACCACCATTTCCAGCCACACATAGCCCTGTATTCTTTGCCCAGGCCCTTACGTGATTTCTCATTGCCAATGGCACCTGTGTCTTCATGACTGTGTTCTCCATACCTGGCTTCTTAGCTCCGGCTTGTACCCCGCAGTTTCTTGTCCAGCTGGCAGAGCTGATGGAGGAAGCCACGGTTGGGGAAGATCCACCGGTGTTCCCTCACAGTGATCACTGCCTGACGCAGGGACAGCTGCTGGTGCAGCATGAGGTAGGCCAGGACCAGTGTGGCAGAGCGGCTGACACCCACCACACAGTGCACGAGGACTTTGGCTGAGGGAGACATCCTGGTAAAAGACCCTTTCCCACCAGCCATCCCATCCAGGCCTGGGGTGGAGACCCTTGTTCCATTCCCTACCCTGCCTTGGGTATACTCTGGAACCTCAGGCAAGTCACTCAGCCATCATGGATCTCAGTTTCAAATGATTTTCATTTGAAATGATATTTCAAATGAGTAACAACACCTATTTGGCCTATCCTTGGAATGAAGTCCAAATCCTTAACATGACTTACAAGACCATCTGAGAGCTGGCCCTTCCTGACAACTGCAGCCTTATCTCAAGATGAACCTATCCCAACCCTCATCTCTAGGAACACAGGGTAAGGAACACAGTTCCTTGAAACTGTCATGGTCTCTGACCTCTAGCCTTAAGCATGTGTTGTTCCTACTATTTTGAAAAATGTTCCTGTTGATCTTGGCCTGACTAACTTCTACTATTCATTCATCAAGTTTCAGCTGATACATGGTTTCCTTCCAAGGGCTTTCCTGATCACTCAAGGTATTGTTTGAATCATAGAGCAGCTCATCATTTCTGCATGTGGCCCAATGAATGTCCTTGTAAAGGGAAGTCCCCCACCTCCCTGGTCCTCTGGGCTGGCCACCCCTGCCCTGTGTTCCCATAGCACTTCACATTTTCCCTCCCACATCAGTAGCACTCACAATACTTCACACTTTGACTGGCAGGTTTCATGAGGGGAGGGACCCTGCCTTGTTCAAGTCTGAATTCCCTGAATTTAGTTTAGCATCTGACACATAGAAGATATTCAATAAATAGCCGATGAATGAATAACAAAAGAATGTCAAAGTGCCTTGGGCATTTTAAAAAGAGTGATATGAGCTGTTGTTTTGTCATTCCCATCACATGGATGAAGAAACTGAAGTCTAGAGAGGGACACTGGCCTGCCCAGTGTCATATAGCAGGAAGCACAGCTGTCGTTCAGGATGAACACAAAGCAGGAGCTCCTGCCTCTCCAGGCTTCTTTATTGTAACCTATGCCTGTTCCACCCCGACCCCAAATACACACATTTGAAAGTACTTTAGGGCAGACACATAAGGTACCAAATTTTCCCAAGGCTAAGTGTTGCAGAGAAAGAATCATTCTGCTGTTTGTGAGACCTGGATTCCGGCCCGAGAGCTCCTTTGAACTCAAGGCATGGCCTTCAATTTTGGCCTCAGTTTCCCCATATGTGAAGCAATGGTTTTAGATAAAATGTTGGAGCACTAAATGGAAGATTTCTAAAAACCAGGGATGGGAGCATACTGATGATTGAGGGGAAATGGGCATCCTTCCCTTGAATGAGCAGGGTGGGATATGGGTTCTGGCCCCAAGTCCTACCCCCAGGTGTGCTGAGGGCACGGTGGATGAAGTCAGCTGCAGAGGAGAAGTAGGTGCTGATGTCAAAATCAGGGAGGTCGTGGGCTGGTACCCCCAGGTAGCTCACACTGCTGCCGTAGAAATCAGGGCTGCCCTGACAGTAGAGGCCCCCATGGGCGGCGTTCAGCACGTGGGTGATGCCCAACTTCCACAGCTCAAAGCGGTTATTTGCCGTGGCCCTGAGGAGGGGGGGAGCAGGAAGGGGGCTGGATGCTGGCTGAGCTGTGGGGTCCAAGAAGGAGGCTTTGCATGGCTCCCTGTTTCAAAGGATGAAACCCTAAGTGTTCAAAGGGAACTAGAGCCCAGCCAGCCCCAGCTAGGGTCTGCTGCCCATGCCCCACCCCCAGAGCTTTCTGGAGGGAGAGTTGGTAGTGTAGGGTTATCTTTAGAACCTCTTGGCTTCCTCAGGCAATCTGCCCTTGGGCAGGGTAGGAAAGAAGGGATTGCTTTAGCCCTTCCTCTCCCTTCTTGCCCCACATCCTCCCACATACATCCGGTTTCTCTTGGTCATCGGCTTATACCTGCCTCTAATCTGCAAATGTCTAGAGGTGACACCTTCCCTGATTCACCCTCAGTCAGATTTCTCCACCCATTCTATGTCCAGAATAAGGAGGCTGGAATCAGAAAGGGGGATCTCTAACTACCCCATGTCATACCCCATGTACTTTCCCCCAGTCCTCTGGCCAATTGTCCTGGATGTGCCAGAAGACTCCAGGACTTCTGGGAAGTTCCCGTTTTTTGCAGGTAGGAAAAAAAAAATGCTCCCCCTGGTGGCCATATCTAGTCACTGCATTGTCCCAGCAGGTGGGAGTCCTGGAGAAAGTCCCTGTCTTCGGGGTGCTAAGAACAGAACTTTCCCCCTTATTTCCACCCACACCCATGTAAGGTAAACTGCTTCTCCTTGTCGCCACCCTCACACCCCTCTACCAGTGACCACTCACGCATCTCCTATGAAAAGATTGGGCCAAACTTCATCCACACGGCTGCAAGAGGCCTTCCCTGCCCTCAGGAGCTCCTCTAGCTCTAGGACGCTAGGGCAAGGCGTGGCTTCGGCGTCTCCCTCCAGCTCTGGGAGCAAGGCCTCAGCCATGGGCCAGCCTGCCTACCCCTCTGCCTCTATGGTCACTCCTCTGCTTCTCCAGTGTCATTTTCTCCTTCCCAGAGATTGGCAGGGACAGGTGGGACGGGAGTAAGTGACTCAGCAAGTCCCAGAGGCCTGTTTCTCCCAAGCCAGGCCCCACCCCCACACTCTTGAGAACATGGAATCAGATAGACCCCTGCAAATCACTATCTCCCTTAACCTCAGTTTCTTTATCTATAAAATAAGGATAATCACATCTTTCATTGTTCCAAAGGTTACATGAAACAAAGGTTGTGCTATTTCTAACACATTGTAGATGCTTAGAGACAGTTTTTTAATTAATAGGTTTAGAGCCCTGCATAAGGATGATGTTGATGATGATTATTATTATTATTATTTGGTATGGGGGATTGAACTCAGGAACACTCGACTTCTGAGCCACATCCCCAGCTCTGTTTTGTATTCTATTTACAGACAGGGTCTCACTGAGTTGCTTTTTGATGGGCTGGGTTTGAACTCACCATCCTCCTGCCTCAGCCACCCGAGCCACTGGGATTATAGGTATTCACCACTGTGCCTGGCCAATAAGTCTAATTTGGTTCTGAGGACTAAGTTAAAACAGGTTGGAGAGAAGGTGGTTGGTTCTAAGGATGAATGATAGAAGAAACTTTGTAGGTCTGGGAGGGCCACAAACTAGGTGGGACCTGAATGTTGGATGGGCCTCTGGATTGTGGAGCTCATAGTTTTCTGAGTTGTAGTGTCAAGAGAAATGTGGGGAGGAGACATGGAGTACAGCATCGAAAGGGTACCCACAAGGTTTACAGGAGGTTTGAACAATAGTCCTGTAATGAAAATGGCCAGTTTTCTTCAAAAAAAGGTTGAAGGGGCCTTGTATATCAAAGAAAGAGAAGTGAACATTGCTCTAGACTTTAAGAGCCAAAGGGGCCTGTCATCAGAAACATTTTGAGGGTAGGAGGGAGAGTCTTCTGCCTATCAGGGCTTTCAGCCCCAGGATAGAAACTGATAAAAGGTTGAGTAGGTTATCTGCAAAAACTATGTAAGGATGGCCTTAGCCCTGAGTCTAAGCAACTCCATTTTAAAACTCCTTTTGAAACCTGCAGTCTCACCAGGTACACCTGCGGAGCCTTCCAGTATGGCCCTCAAGCACAAACAAGTCACTTCTCCCCACCCTGATAAGCTCATAGTGAAGTCTCTGTCATGTTGTCCTCATCCCAATAAGGAGGAAAGGCAAGATAATCAGGGTGGGGACCACCAGACCAGATGCTTTAACCCCAGGGCAAATGACATCACTGAGAAATCCGGTGGCAGCTGATAGGGATTGAAAGGGTGGTCACAAGACCCAAAATTTAGTATGGAGCAAATGAACAGACATTCAGCTAGCTGACATTGAGCCCTCTCGCTGGAGAGCCTGATGAGAATCTGGACTGACATCCCAACTCTTCTTATCATTTGCCTGATCCTCTGCAACTTCCTCACCTTTCAAACTCTACAGCCACATCTTGAACCTGGTGAGAGCCACGACTTCTCCCTACCACACTCTCCTCAACTAGCCATCAGCTCCACCCCAGGAGAAGCCTGCCTTGGTTCCTGATCTGATAACCATGTCTGAATGAGTGTGCATCTGCTGGACTTAGAGCTCAAGGCTTGAAACTTTTGATCTGACACCTGAACTTAGCATGCAGAGGGAATATCTGTCATTAGCCCGTCATGCAGAGGGAATATCTGTCATTAGCCCGTCATGATTAAGTGTGTTTTCAGTGCTTAGAATTAAATTAGAATTGTTTGCTGTGAATTGATTATGTCTATTGCAGTGCCTAGCATTAAGGATTGTCATTTTCTTGATTTAAGAACCTATAGAGTGAAATTGTATTGAGTGACTTGAGTGAATAAAGCATTGAAAAGGGCAGAAGCGTGTGGACATTCTTTATTTCTCCCCCTCAACTGCATAAGTCATACCTTTTGCCCATCTTGATAAGCTGCCAGAGCTGGTTGTTGGCAAAAGAGAGATGTCTTGCCCTCCCTCGTGTGACTTCATAAGGGACCCTGATGGGTCTGGGAGAGGTATGAGCTCTGTTGGACATGTTCCCAGCTGCTCCTGGTCTTGAGTCTGACTTGAGGGTAAAGACAATTCCAGGGAATACCCTGGAAACAGTCTGCACTCCTGTCTACCTGAAACATGCTCCCATCCCATTCAGTGTCAGAAAAACTGGTCTGGTACTGTATGGGGAGGCAAGGCAACGAAGGGTCTGGAACCCAGGCAGCTGGCTTTAGATTTGGTTTCTGCCAAAGCTAGGGCTAGGTTGGGGTGGGGTGGGGGCTTCTCTTAGGGTGGAATAGCATTGTAGATTGAGAATTTGGGTTGGTATGTAGATTTAGATAAAATACCAGTTTGGGCACAGATTTACTGTGATATTCAAGCAATGATGTTTTTGGCCTTTCTGTGTTGTATGATCTACTTTGTAGAGCTGAAACGAGGATTGAGATATTTATATGGCATTTGGCATAGACATTGTCAGTGAATAAAAGGGGTCTGCGATATCCATGATCATTGGGGGTTGGCTCTTGAAAAGGAGCTGGTCTTCTGCAAAGGAATCAGGATAACTTCCTCCGGATCCCCAACTCCGTTTACCAATCCCACGGGTTCCTCCCTTAATCTACACCAGCCCTCTTTGGCGGCGGGCCTGACGCATGCGCTCTCAGGCTCCCCTGCAGCGTTTTCCCTTCTTCTCTCCGGTGGGCTGGAATCTCGCGTCCCTTCCGGCCTTGGCCACGCCCCTTCTCCGGTAATGCTCCGCCTCCTGCCGGTAGTGCTCCGCCTCCCGAAGCAGTTCCGGTTCGGTACGGAGCAGCTGCCGGAGCGGCGGTGACGGAGCCGGAGCGATGCCTGCGCGCAGCCGCCACCGCTCCCGCCTCCACTCCGGCTCTCCGCCCCGGGTTCCACCCCCGCCGCTTGAAGTGCTCCACTCCGGCGAGGCGCGAAGGGCCCGGGACTCCGACGGCGCCTCGGACGCCGACTCGGAGGCGGGTCGGGGAAGCCCGACTCTCATCGCGGAGGTGAGCGGGCGCTGAGGCTGAGGAGAGGGGAGACTGGGGGGCGCCTGCAGCCAAGGGTGAGTGAGGAGTCTGGGGTGGAGCCGGGGGCGTCGAGGGGCAGGGAGCCCGAGGGACCGAGGGGAGACGGTTGAGGGGGCCAAGAGAGTCCGCTCTAGAATGGAATCTGGAGGGAATGGAGGTTGTTGAGCCGACGGCCTGAAGGGGTGACGACGCCGGTGGCCGAGGGGCAGGTAGAGGCTGAGGCGCGAGAAGGACTGGAGGACGCGGAGAGGCTAGGGCTGTTGAGAGCAGAGCACTGATGGAAGGAGTCCCCGGGAATGTGCACCCGGAGGAGGAGATGCTCAGGGCTTTGGTAGTGGGGAGAAGGGATCTCAGAAGCAGGCCTGGCCCGGGATTAACCCCAGGGCGAGGAAGAGGGAACCGTGTTGAAGTGATAGCCGACTGACCCGGGTGGGGACAGAGGTATTGGAGGGCAGGAGTTAGGTTTGAGTGGAAGAGGCTATTGGATGGAAAGTCATCTGGCCCAAAGGGTTGAGAGAAGGATTGAAAAGGAGAAGTGTGGTCAAGAAAGAAAAGGAGCCCTTGGGGATCTAATTTAGGACTTTGGCATTTTTACAAGTAGGTGTCTTTCAAGGCATCAAAGATCACTCGGGCAGTTACTTGGATCATAGTACTTTCTTTGTGGACAGTGGATCCTTTTAACAATCTGGATTGGTAGGGGCGGTATTCACTGATTTGTCTGCAGGGTTGGGGGAAGTAGTGCAAAGGAAGTGATGTTTTAAGATTGAAAGGAGTTAATTCTGAAATTAAAGGTATCATTTGGATTTCTTTTAACCGTAATGATGTACTTCTCTTTTTCTTTGTATTTCTTAAATAAATTTAAATACCAGACAAGTTTAAATCCTAAAAAAAAAAAGATTTAATACATTAACTTTAAATTTTGAAAATTTAAACGTGAAAGAGGAATTTGGGTGTTTTGATTTTACAGTCCCTCAGTGTGAGTTGGTAACATTTTCCCAGTTTGGGGTGACATACGTCTTTGCTACAGGGTAAAAATATGGTCAATTTAAGTATCTGGGTTAAGAAGGCACATAAAACTAGAAGTAAAATCGTCACAGCCCCTGAGCCTACCAGATTTTCCTCTTGAAGATTACTTTTGACAGATTTGAAGGATTAATATTCTAGTACCATTTTGCAGATATTGTATGAATAATATTTCAATAGAGTAATCTAGGAAAATTAAAAAGCAAATTCTTGTAGTTGGCAGCTAATATCACTGGGATAGGTGGCATATATGCTTTTTATAGAAGATGTAGTATCAAAACCATAATTTAAAAAATCAGAAAATTCTTGTAAAATTTATATTCACTGTAGAAGAAATAAGTTAATTTCCTTTTCTAATTATTAAATTATAATGTGACTCCAAGGGATCTTAGTCTCATGTAATGTTTTAAAACTTTTTATCTGATTAAAGATTTTGCAAGTTGTTGGTCAGTTTGAACTTTTTAAAAAGTATTTTCTGCTCTAAACAAGTATTTGCTGTCTAATCATCATAGGATGACAATTTACCGATTGCAATAAGCCTTTGAATTAGTTTTGTATAGACTGTATCTCTTACCTTCAAATGCTCAGTGGAACAATAATTATTTCTTCAAAGGAGAAGCAAATTCTTAGGTTTGCTTTTAACTAAGGTTCTTAAAAGATTAACTTCATAAAATATTGTTAGTGAATGCTGCATTCATTTTTTAAATTTAAAGTTTTCTGTAGCTTTGATTCTTTTTGGACATCAAACTGACTTATATGAGAAAGAAATACAATTCCATATTCTGTTAAGTTACCTGTGAAAGCTCTTTTGAAAGATTGTGGTATTTGTTAAATAAGTGGATTAAGATTATTAAAGGCAACTATATTCTTTCATATCCAGATTAAATGTCTTACTTTTTTGCAGAGATTTGGGGAAGGAAAATCTGTTTTTTTGTTGTTGTTGTTGTTTTTTAACTTTCTTATGT